CTCTTTAGGGCATGTAGACTGGAGTCAGTCCAGATCAAGGCAAGTCATGGCAGCAAGGGTGTGTGTGTGTGTGTGTTTTAAGTTGGTGAGTGGGGTAGGAATGATACACAAATAACAGCGCTGTGGGCTACAACTGTTGTGGTCATCAATCATTGCTGTGTGTGTGTGTGCACTCTGTGTTCTACTTATTCTACTTATTATTCAACTGTATGTTTTTTATCATTATAAATGTAAATTTGTTTATTTCTTTCAAGCTTATGTTGAAATTAGTAAAGAAACCATAATAATGGTAGGATTAGACATGCAAGCAAGTCTTAACACGATCCAAGCACCCTGGTGCAGGTTGGACTTGGAGCGCCACTGACTCAAGGCGATCACGAAGTCAAGAGTATTGACCAACAGGGCTAAACATGCGGTGCCCTTTTCCCAGTCATCAGCCAAATATGCTTCACTTCCATAGCATTCCATCTGTCATTCACCACTGCTTTTCTGTTCATGACACCTAAATGCGATGGGGGCTTTGCCTGCCTGCATCCTGATAAGTATTGTTTGCTTCTGTCGAGTGCCTGCCAGTTAAGGGCCTCTGCAATGTCTTTTTACAAAGTAAGTGCTTTTTTGTCTTCATCTGCACTGATTTTGAGTTATGGTTTATAGTCTTACTCCTTGCCTTGATGCAGGCAGGATATTCTGAAGAACACTCCTTTAGCACAGAAGCACACCAAGCACTGCACAGCAAACTGCAACTTCTGAATAAGGCTTCATTGGGTTGAGACAAAATAGTGTTGTAATTTTTCCAAAAAAAAAAAAAAAAAAAAAGATTTCTGTGAACTCAGCACAAAAACTGAAGACTGGCGTAACTGGAGTTCAACTGGCTAAAGCTGATCTGAGGTGAACCAGTAGAGGCACCATTTTAACCCACTGATCTAAATTCCATAATGGAAATACAGATAGGAGAGTCACCTCACGAGACAAACCTACTTGTGAAATGAATTTCATTTTGCAGGGATGGCAAACGACCAAAAACGACATGTAAACTTTGGCAATATGAGGTAAATTGTAACATTTATGAAACATTATCAGTTTATACCAAAAATGTTTTGAAATAAAACTGATATATCTTGCATAAACACATGAATTTTGGTGTCAACTGGAGCAAGCATTTGTAAATGTTGTTAAAATGGTATCATAAGGGTTCAAGCGCCAATGATGTTGGGGCGCTAGTGTTTCCTAACAAATATCAGCAGAAAATTTGCAACAGAAAATAATGTTATGTTGGTGTATGGTGTTTAAAATCCTTTTCTATGTGCTTTTTTTTTTATTTGAGCACCTGCCCCCCTAAAGGTCTCTGCAGACTCTCCAGCCCTTAGGCCATCCACCAAAGGTCTCAGGCCCCATCAGCACGTGCCCTGATTTGGATCTTCTGCCTGCTTCTCCAGGACTCTGCATGTTTGCTTGTGTCCCTGGACTGCTGCTTGTGACCTTCTATCGCTGCTCTGTAGAGAGCATACTAACATATTGCATCTGTGTGTGGTTCTCTGGCTGTAAAGCTGCAGAGAGGAAAGCACTCCAGAGGGTCATCAACACTGCCCAGAAGATTATTGGCTGCCGTCTCCCCTCCCTGAAAGAATTGTATAGCACCCGCTGCCTCAGTAAAGCTCATACCATTCTGAGAGGCCATTCCCACCCCAGGCACAACCTGTTTGAACTGTTACCTTCTGGATGACGATACAGGGCAATTAAAACACTGGCAAGTAGACTTTAAAACAGTTTTTATCCCAGAGCCATAGCCACACTAAATGACTGATACTTTCCACAACATATCCACTGTGACGTGTTGATATATTGGAATCGTGCAACAGTCCCACAGAATGTGAAAATGTGTTGGTGTGTGTGTGTATTACAATGTTTGTAGACAATCAGCATTTATATTAAGTTATTTATTTATACAGTCTTTTAGGTTTTTAAAATTATTGTCCCTTTATATTTTATGCACAGAAGGATCTTGTTGTACAATGTACAGTGGCAAATAAATCTATTGTATTCTAGTACGTCATCTTTTGTTATGTTTAGACTGTTTTTGGTTGCATGGATTTTATTAAAGGCTTTATATCTGCCTGTCTGCTCGTGTGCCTGCACTAAGGGTCTTGTCTGCCTGGTGTTTCCCTAATACAGAACATGATACAATTAGTATGACTGAATGCAAGTGTGAATCCTGTTTCCTTCTCAGAGCTGTGACCAGCTGAAGGATATCAGTATCCAAACCAAGTCAGTGTCCAGGTTAAGCTAATGTCTTTTTTTTTTTTATCTTATCCTGTTTCTCATTTTTATCTTTAGCATCACTAGAAAGACTAGCTGCTTTCATTGCTAGTCGTTCAAAGACTACAAACAGTAGACTCTATAGGATTCTCACATTCATCACTGGGGAGATTATTTATTCATCTTAACTGACTGCTGCTATCTATTTGTAGTTCATGACACAACTGTCCAAATCCTTAAATGTTTGAGTTTTGGAACGTTAACCATCTGGAACATATTAGGATAAATGAAATGAGAGATCTGGACAATATTTACTGGCTGTGCCAGACCTTCTTTCACCCTATATTTATTTTGGGGTTTTTATTTAAATCAGTTTCACTAACTTTTCTTTGTCTTTTAGAACAACGTTCAGTTAAAGTGTTATGGTATTTTTTTTAAAGAAAAATGTAGAGAACTGAGAACAGGGTGCAATCAGTAAAAGTCTGGCATGTTGGTTTGTTTTGTTGGATGGATGCAATGGCCTGCAAACAGTTGTAGTCAGAGGGTTATGGTTGTATTCGTTTTGTGAGACAATCTCAGGTTTATTTTTAACTTTATTTC